GTTATTGAAGAAGTTCATTGAATGGATTCGTTCATTAACTTGATGAACTGACCATCAATGACTAATTTCACTCCTCATTTATCCTCTTCATCCGCCAAAATCACTTAGCAATCAACCTATTTACCTCAACTCTTGAATTTCATCATCATTAACATCATTGTTTTGCTTATAAATGGCGAAATAATGGACATTATCATTATCGCCACAACAATAATAACGACGGCATTTGGAACAAACAACGACATTTACAATAACAAGAATAACAAAATTTGCAACAATAACAAGAACAACGATATTTATAACAATAACATATTTCCAACAATAACGACAACATTTGCAACAACAACAACGACATTTGCAGTAATAACAAGAACAACAAAATTTGCAACAATAACACATTTACAACAGCAACGACAACATTTGCAACAAAAACAACAGCAACAACAACAACAATATTTGCAACACCAACAACATTTGTAACAACAACTACAACGGCAACATTTGCAACAACAACAACAGCAACAACAACAATGACAACAATATTTGCAGCAACAACAAACAATTACGTCAAAATCCTTTTACTTTTATCTTTCTAAAGTTAATATTTTCTCTTATTAAAAAGCATTAAGCATTTATCTTTTAAATCCATGTCATTGAATAAAGCATTCTTTGACATTTATGCCTATTCCTAAATCCTTATCATTCCCCATTTCTTTCCTTCTTTTCATTTTAGCCTTTCATTCATCATTCCCTTTTAGTTTTTAATTTAATCAAACTTGCCTTAGAAAAAAAGAAAAAAAAAGCGTCTCAATTTCTTGGAGCATAGGATATTGTAGTAAATTCAATTAGAATTTAATTTATTTCTTAATCATACTTTTGCACATACATGAATAAACCCCTAAGGCTGTGGAAATTCATTATCTTTTTTCTTTTTTTTCTAAAAATATAAAATCTATTCGTGGAAAATATTGGAATTTGAAATTTACTCGATGAATTAAAGAAAAAAAATGGATTTCATATTTGACATTTTATAAATAAACTTTAGTATTATTCCTAGTATAAACCAAAGATTACATAAAGATCCTATCTGCCAAATAATCATATTTTAAATTTGATTTCCACTTTTTATCCTCCAAATAATCATATTTTAAATTTGATTTCCATTTTTTATCTTCCAAATAACCATATTTTAAATTTGAATTCCATTTTGAGATCAAATTATTCGCTAATCAGTAATGGTGGAGACTTAAAGCAATCCAGTCAATTTTATCATGATTTTATCTTTCGACTATCACTTCATTTTCCGTTTCCGGAAATTATTATTTGATAATATTTGTACCTACTAAAAACATCGATATTCACTGATAAGAGTGGAAAAAGTTTTTTAAATCAAATATGTTACTACTCTTATGTCCTGTCCTCTTTTTTCTTATGACAGTGATTGTTAAATAAACAATTTTAGCCTGTGACTTTGTATCGTTGACAATATTTAAAAAACATTAAAAAAAAAAAAATGATGTAATAAACGAAGAAGAATGAGTTAACATTAGGTTTGTGACAGTGTAATTGTCATTTAAAATTTTCTGATTTTGTCCGGTTGACAGTAATCTAAAACAAAATAAAAAAAAAAAAAA